TACCCATAGCAATTGATGCGTTTGTCGACGGATTCGCACGAAGTGTCTGCTCCAATTGACAGCGGCGCTTCACATTCGTTGATAGATAAAAACGCGTACGAAAAGATGTCAATCCAGCAACTAGTTGAGCCCCGCCTCATGTTCGAAGGCAACTCCGGTTGACTATCGAGCAGGCGCTGGGCGCGTGACTCTCTTCTAACTCCGCGGAGTTAGATGATGGCAAGTCACGCAGCGGAGAGAGAGTGAGAGAGAGAGAGAGAGAGAGAGAGAGAGAGAGAGGGAGAGAGAGAGAGAGAGAGAGAGAGAGAGAGAGAGAGAGAGAGAGAGAGAGAGAGAGAGAGAGAGAGAGAGAGGCAGTTTGATGCAATTGCTCAGACAATCGTCAATCAAAAGGCTTCTCGGTCTCACGAACGAGCGGGTGTTCAACCGGCATGCCGGAGATAAATCCTACAAGGTGGGAGACCTTGTCTACCTTTATCGGCCCGTCACCAATCCTGGTAATGCCTCGAAATTAACTAGAAAGTATGAGCCCGGCTATGTGGTAAGTGATTACCATTACAATGACACAGCTGCGGGTCCGTAAGCCCGGTTCAAAGAAACCGCGAAAAAAAAAGGTGCACTGTGACCGACTGAAACCCCGCCCAGTCTCCCATGTGTATCGGGATGGCCAGAGAAAGGCTGCGATGCAGTTCAGATCTGTGCAGATCCCAGTCGCTGCCAATGAAAGGCAGGATATAGTATAGAAGCCCGGCTACAGAGAGCCTGGGGCAGGGTGAATTTTCTAAGCTAACGATACCGCTTCGCCGTTCCGCTGTTGGAAACAGGATCGAGCGCAACCCTCGATCAGGCAGTGGAGTCACCAGAGTTCTGGAGGCCTTAGGGCCCGGAATATGGTTCCTCCTCTGAGTGGAGAACTGGGATCGGATGTGTCCGATTCCCGTGGCCAGCAGGATGGCCTATCGGGCAGACAGCCCGTCAGACGACAGGTGCAGCGGGACGAGCTGTTCGCTCAGATCCCGACTCGTCCTCAGAGGACGCCTCCGAGACATCAACGATCCCCAGAGGACAAGGAGAGCGTCCGATCGCTATTCCCCTTAGATTAGTGCTGTATGGATGCTATTAATTGTCGGTACCTATGTCACAAGGTATAAGGTTCTGGAAGGTCTGGGAACCCTGTCAAGTTCTCTGGCATGTGGTTGAGTGAGTTAGCATGAGGTGTTAAAGGATAAAATTATCAGGTGAGCCACTGTCAGTTATTTTCCATCGGCTTTCCGTAAAACCTTTGGAGCAGCATTACCTCTGGTGAAATGATTCCTATGATTCCTGACTATGTCACATCCTGTTGCAACATTTCGCTGCGCTAACCGTTCACCCTTATCTCTGGTCTAATCAACCAGAAGGGCAAATGACCTGGTTCATTGTACGGCTGTTCTTGGATATTGCCACCCTAATGCTGATGCGAGCACTTTGGAAGCTCCACCGGAGATTGAATGATCTGGCCCTGTTACAGCAGACTTCTCCCAGTGAACAGCGACCGCTTGTCGCGTCTGGCGCCGGAGACGTCAGGCACCCGACCAGGTGGCCTGAGTCCTGCACTCTCAGTTTCATGGCCTCTGATCATTGACCCAGCTGAGGCGGTCGCTACATCTCGAACCCAAACGTCCACGTGAGACCGGGGTACAGTTGGTGTTTGGGGTGAGTAATTAAGCATTAAAACCACAGATGTGCTACCATGCGACTAGGTGTGACCGACCAGCAGTGGTGAGCGAGACCGCTGCAGATGCCAGATTTACTGGCCGGTGGCCGCCCATACGCGCCCAATATCCGAACCCACACCAGTGTGTCGAGGTGCAATACTCGGACGCTTGTGTTGGCTTCGTAAAGGTGCAACAAAGTTATCGGTCCCACACCCGTACGCCAAGGTAGAGTACTTGGATGCGTGTGTTGGCAAACCGAAACGCAGGGCACACCGCGGTGAGAGAAGGCTACGCTGACCTGTCGATCGTGCACAAGTGCTCCATGCCGGATTCTTGTGTCGCCGTCGGCCGTCAAACTGAGCCGAGTTGTGACTGGGGAGAGATCGGACACCGTCGTGTTGCTGGGGCTCACTGTGTGTTTTCAATGCCAAAGCCACCCCGAAATCTTTGACCCTCCTCACACCGACAGACCGGGAGAGAGAAATCGTGCCCGTTCCAGCTTGACGAACGATCAGCTTGCCACTTGCTATTTGCAGATATCAGCTTTCTGTTATCAACTCCGAGGTTCATAAGGAGAACTATCGCTGTGCTACACCAGGTCACTCTGCCTCTGTGTTACCCAGCAATGAGTTGTTTGTGGCAGTACATAATATAGCAGCCGTAAATGACCAGTGTTACAACCGCCCGTGTCATATCTCCGATTATCCGATCATATTACACCTATCCGCATGACCCTGAATCTTTTGCTACAGATTATCTTGGCCAGTACGAGTCCAGGATACCTCGGCGGAATGATGCTCCATATCAGCCAAACAAGGACTTTCAGCGGTTCGCTGGCAAGGTCCTACTCGTAGGTAGATGGATTTATTTTGCTATTTTGGTGAATAGTAAAATGAAAGGGAATGCATGCCAGGGAACGAGGACAGACCCATCCGACCCAGAGACCCAGAGAACCACGTAGTATTTACGTGAAGTCCAAGTGATCCCCGCTGGTTTAATGGTATTAGGTAATGGTTGATTCTTGTGTGTGCATGTGCATCACTTTTAGTTGTTTCAGACCGCTGAGCCCCAAAGGTTGGAGCTATTGTGCCTCTATAAAAAAGGGAGGAATGTGAGAAAATCACGGTCGCGGTGGGCGCGACCGGCGCCGCCACCTTCGGTGACCGTGCCACGATCGCGGTGGATGTGACCTGCATCACTGCCTCTGGTGGCGCAAGGCTCGCTGCAACACCACGCCGCGGCGGCGTGGACCGCGGCCGGTGCCGTAGTGAGACCGTACCGCCCACACGCACCGGCGAGGCGGCACGGTGTCGCAACCTACGCACTGGCCACTGACCGACCTTCGCCCGACCCCTCGGGACGTGACGGTGAACCCGGGACGGAGCGCGAGGAGATGGCTTTAGCCCGACCCTGGGGCCGGGCGCGCTGGCGAGACCGGGCGGGCGCGCGAGGTCACGACTTTCACGCCGCACAGCCGTGCCACGTGAAGTACGCGTTTCTCCGACGTTTAGAACATGTAGTTCTTATATTTATGTAATTAGCCCTGCAATGGATTGGAACAGGCTTTTTCTCCTGTAGCTCTGTATAGCTAACAACGAATAAATAGGAGCAGACATGGAATACCTACGGATCGATCGCATTATTCCTTGTGTGAAATAGATTACGACGTATTACGGTAAATACGTGCGTAATAACTTATTGCAGGACCGACCCTCACGGACTGCATGATTTATTGTACTTTACAGTGTTCGATATGCCACGTTCTAAGCTGATGTATGTCGCCCAATTTGATACGGGTTGCATGGTCTATTGCACATATAAGATAAGATACCTTAGAGACAAAACTGACTGTGTCACGGAATGTTCACTATTTTACGTGATTTCACGGGTTTTCCAAAGCAGAAAACATAATGCTAGTTGCATTGTTTGTCGGTTGGCGGTTGCATTAGGTACGTTTAAAAATTGGCAATGTAACATTACGAGAAACAATACGGGCCGTCTGGTACAATAAACAACGATGAGGTACCGGGTCGCATTGTTTATTGTAATGATATTAACTGTTAACAAAAAGTGTGTGACTTTATATCCTATCTGGTATTCTATATGAAAATCTGACATCTTGTTAGTTTGTGAGTTAGCACTTGTTTCGCATGTGGTTTCATTCGCGAATAAGGACGGATTCTTACGGCCATGCCTGTAACGTGCGTGTACTCGTATGTGTATTATTTCTATATGTTATACTGTGGCCCTCGGATTGCGTGAAAGTACGCGGGTTGTGACGTCACACGGCGTGTGACGGTATAAATACGCGCGCGTGGCGTAGGTCGGGGCTCGCTCTACTGGCTCGCTTCTGGCTCTCTCTTGTTCGCCCTCGCTGGCACTCGTCCGCCCCGTCACGGACGGAGCGGTGCTCCTCCGCGGCCTCGCCACGCAGCGATGTGAGTACCGGTGGGTCGCCGGTCCAGTCAGGACCTGTTGAGCCCGAGTGGCGCGGCAGTGTTTTCTTCACTGTGCGTGTAGCGGGTAACATTGCGCCTGTCTGCCTATTGCCTGGTAACTGTGCTATTGCTTTACTCGAATCTAATCTCATGTCTTTTATAGCCTGTAATGTAATATACCTGTTCCAAGACAAAGCAAATTCTTTGTAGTTGGTAACGTTTACATCCGAAAGGGACGAATGCTTTAGAAGTTGGGCTAAAAATAAAACTTTCATACTCCTAGACAAACGACCTGCTCAGCAGACACTTCACGCGTGAAGCCAAGCTGGCAAAGTAAAACATAAAATTCACACGTCCAGTACAACATGTGTTGTCTGTCAAACAACAATCGACGACGGGATCTCTTCTCATTATCTCTTAAGCCATCGGTTGTCAATTCACCCACCCCGTTTCCCTAAAAATAGACGGTCAGATTCGGCCTGGGTCCTTACGACCCCTCTAGATTCGCCAGAGACGGGATCGGATCGCCGTTATTGCACCCGTCTTAGTGTCTTTAATACTATGACAGCTTCGACCACGGACTTCGGACGGGGTGATCGTTCCACGAATGTACGAACCATCCAGGCCTAGAGTGCATCGAGGTTTAAAAGAATGCAGTCTGTAGATCAATAAACATAACAATGGTGGTATACAACCACATTAAAATATCTCCCCGGCTCCCGCAACGTTCCAACGCCCCTCCGTTATGCATTCGCCTTGTGTGTCCGCCGAGCCGGCTTGCCTCCAATGACGTCATCGGCCGGCCGGCGGCGTTCAAGGTCAAACGGCTGGTGTCCTTACCTGGAGTTCTATAGCCTTGGTTGGCCCCCTTGGTTGGCCCGGAGTATCAGTTTGAGTTTTGGATCGGTTTCATTAATTGTGTTGTGAGAGTTGCCGTGCCCAGCCGTGCCCGACAACTGATACCAATACGGGGCTGAAGCACTTTGTGAGAAATCATCCTGGCGAGCAGACGTCAAATTGAAATTCATTATTCAACTGAGTTCAAGTTGGAAGTGACTAGCAGTATTTGACTTGCCTGAAAAGTGTGAATATTTGGACTTTTTCTTCTAGGTAACTATAGGGCTAGGCGCTGATCATCCATTGCCAAAACACTAGGCCGCCATCTAGACTCGAGAGGACACAATCAAATTAGTCTGGTTAATAATCTACCCACCCAAGGGAGCCTTCAGTGAAAATGGAAAAGAGCAGATTTATTACTCTGGCTCGGAAGTTCAATGCTGTTCTTTTTGAAGGTCAGTATCTGATGCATGCTTATCAACCTAATATTTTACAATATATTGCTAAGTATTGTAATATATAATTCTTGCTAAATAAATTTATATATTTTTGTTTGATATGAATCACAAGAAAGATGTCTTGGGCAGCAAACAATGCTTTAGTTAAGCCCTGTTGGTAGGAACATGCATGATGCCTCAAGTTTTACCGTACTTAATGCTCCTGAATAGGTAGTGCTATTTTCAGCTCAATAATACTAAACTGCCGTATTGTTTCCAAGCCACGTGTCAAGAGTTGACTATTCACTGCAGATTTTTCCCTTCCCCTTGCTCTGACACTGTGCTCTGGTGCAGAGAACGGCCTGCTGTCCGGCGCGCTGCCGCTGGTGGTGGCCGGCCACACAGTGGGCCTGGTGCGTGCCGAGCTGCTGCCGCTGGTGAGGGCCGCCTCCATGTTCCACGTGACGGAGGGCGCCGTGACGCTGGACCCGGCGCTGGAGACGCCCGAGGCACGCTCGGCTGCCATGGCCGAGCTTCTGCAGCGCTGGCGGACGCAGGAAAACCTGGTGGCCCTGCGTGGCTGGAGAAACGAGGTACGACCACATCCGCACATGGGCTGAGGTTAGTCTGTCCCCTTCCCACTCATGTCCCTTTTATGTCATAATCTTTGGCATGAATCGGATCGCAGTGTTACAAATTACGATGTGCCTGTGTGGTACGATTGTAGCACTCAGTCGTCCGCTGGTACAGCATTGATTCATATGTTTACGTGTTGCGATTGTGACATGCGGTTGTCCGTCGTTCGCAGTGTTATATGCTCGGCGTTTCCGATTGTGACACCCCACCATTATCGGCTGTTCGCAGTGTTATGATGTGCGGGCGTCCTTCTCCAGCGCTCCCCTACTAAAGATGGAACGGTCGGCCACATGTGAGTGTGATTCTCATTCAGTCCATGTCAACTGCTCGTTGGATTGTCCAGAGCGCTGTTCGGTGTGGTTTTTGTATCACCATGCTGCTGGTTCTCCCATATCATTTGGAAGTTAATTACAAGCGTTTCTTGATTTCGCATTCGTGAAACAACACACACACCGCGTGACCTCGACCAATGGGAAACCGAAAAATGCCAGCAAGCTGGCAGCTTGCTGATAAAAACGGCGACCGAACAGCGTCCAGTTTCCGTGGTATTAATTTGGTACTCTCGCTCGGTGGGTTAAGTTCGCTGGATTACACGCGTGTGCCCCGCCGCCGCAGGTGTGTTTGGCATCCGGCAGTACGGGGTGGACCTGAACGGCTACACCCACCACCCGGAGCGGGGCTTCTGCGTCTGGATCCAGCGCCGCTCGCTGGAGAAGCCCACCTGGCCCGGCAAACTGGACAACATGGCGAGTATCTGCCCGGAGTTCGACGGCGGCCCGGAGTCTTGATCACGTGTTTTACGTTTATCTCCAGTTTTGTTCGTTCTTGAACGTCCAAGCTGAATTGAGTAATATTTTACGGGACTTGTGCAGTTTGCCAACTCAACTCATCCACTCTGCAACCGGTTCTCCCAGTAATTTTTTCTCAGTCTTATCAGTTTCTTTCACTAAGGTATGGAATTAATGCGTGTCGGGGTGTTTTCTTCTCTCCTTGCGTCTTTGTCCAAACTACCATCATTTTCCGCTGTGACCTCAGAGGAGGGCTGACCCTGCTCTGTTTGGACAGGTCTCTGGCGGCCTGACGTCCGGGCTCGGCCTGCTGGAGGCCGTGCAGAAGGAGGCCTGGGAGGAGGCCGGCATCCCCGAGCACCTGCTGCCCGGTATCCGGTCGGCCGGCGCCGTCTCGTGAGTGCCGCTTCCGCCCCCGCTAACCCCCGCCCCCCTCCCCGCGTCGTCTCGCTAGTAGAGAGTCCACCGCCGCTGCGGGCCCCGTCCCCCTGGCCGTCTCGTGGGTACCGCCCCGGCCGGCCGCCGCCCCGGGCCGACCGCTCCGGTCTACAGCCGCCGGCGTGTAATCGGGCCCAGGAAACGGTACTGATACCGGTTCAGTCCGGTCCTGTCCGGTCATACGCCGCCGAAAGCTTGTTATCGTAAAGCAAAACGGTTCCTAGTGAGAATAAAAACGCGTGGCGTTGGCACTGTTATCAACTTTTTGCTGATAACGGTAGTTTATCTCAACCCACCATTAAGATGTGAAACATTTGATCCATAAGTCTAGGTTAACTTAAGTTTAATATATGATTCAGCAAAAACGCGGCCTTTTGCTCTGACATTGCAGCCTGGTATTGGAGCTGGTCCTTCCCGTCTCGCCCACGATAGCATGGGGCCGGTCGAGGGATCGACAAAAGTGTCTACACGACTTCTTTATTGCAACTGATTGGGCGGGTTCTATCGTCATTACGAATTAGGGTGTGTTCCGTGCGCTGAACTGTACTACATTGACCTGGTATGCTTGTTTGTCTCATCATGACAATGGCGTGTACCTATACTATTTTAATGTATGTCTCCGTTTCTGTCGTTATGTGGGTTCGTCTTGGTGTCGCTCTACTTTAAAATCCTCTCTTCGTCTTCTCTGTCGGTGTTTCGGGTGCTCTGTAGTCAGCCGTGTTTTGGTTGCTCTGTAGTCTGTCGTCTTCTCTCTTGGCGCGGTATTTTCTCGGGGTCCGTAGATCCATGTGTCTGGCTTTATTGGACCCGCTGCTGTCCGTGTGTCCCTCACTCCCTCTAGTCTGTCCCTCCGTCCTCTGTCCTGTGGCTCGGCGACCACCACCCGTATGTCCCCCTGCCCCGCACGGCGGCCGGGCGGTCGGACCGACCTGCCCTTGTGGCCGCTGTGCGCCAGAATCTGCTACCGGAGCGAGCGGGGCCTGTTCGCCAACACCGAGTTTGTGTACGACCTCGAGCTGCCGGCCGACTTCACACCACAGCCGCAGGACGGCGAGGTGGATGAGTACCGCCTGATGCCCGTCCAGGTCAGTCAGTGGGTGGGCGACCCCTCCCCCAGGTCAGTCAGAGCCCAGTGACCCCGCCCCAGGTCAGTGGGTCAGTGTCTCAGTACCGCCTGATGCCCGTCCAGGTCAGTCAGTGGGTGGGGTGACCCCGGTCCCAGGTCAGTCGGGGTCGCTGACCCCGCCCCAGGTCAGTCAGGGTCCAGTGACCCCTTCCCCAGGTCACCGGCCGGTGACCCTGTCTGGTCCCCAGGTCAATCAGTGGCCCAGTACCGCTTGCTACTTGTCCAGGTCAGTGGGGGTGGGGGTGAACCGCCCGTCCCGGATCAGTCTGGGGGGGGGGGGGGGCAGGTCAGTGCCCCAGTACCGCCTCCTGCCCGTTCAGGTCAGTGGGTGGGGTGACCCTGACCCCAGGTCAGTCAGTCAAGTGACCCCGCCCCCAGGTCAGTCGGGGCCGAGTATCGTTTGATGCCCGTCCAGTTCAGTAAGGCCGGGTGGACCCGCCCCCTCCCCCTTCCAGTTCAGACAGTGACCGAGTACGTCCGCCTGCCCCCTGGGGCAGGACTGACCTGACCTCCTAACTGACCTGGAGGTCAGTTGGCAGGACATGTTTGACCGTCCAAGTCAGTGGGCTCCGCCTCGGGCATACCTCGGTCCTCTTACCGACACCGACATACCAAACACATTTTAGTAGATCTCGTATGAACAGTCGACATGAATAATATCACGTTGCCATAAGAAGACATCACACCAACACTGGCAGAGTCGGTTAGACCTGTGTTAGCACCTAGCTCCTTGATGCATGCCAGCTGGTCCGCATGACCACAATAAAAATATGGGTGGGTTATGATCCCATTTGAGTAGGTCTAAGGTTACGACATTTTATTCTGCCTTCAATAGAGTTCAATAGAGTTATCCTGCCTTCAATAGACATTGTTAAACACGGAACGAATCAGCGGCTCTACAAGAATTAATCTAAAAAAGCTTTTGATGAGCATTGTCCCAATTAACTCCTAGGATAATAGAGTCCAGCGTAACTCCATCTTTTTGCCCGTTTTTGCATTCTCCAGAAATTTAAAATAGTTGGAAGTAGCAAATCAACTGAAGACTCGTTGACTCTAGGTATTAGGTATTTGGACACGGAATTCCCTATGGTTGTATTTTGATGGACTTCGCGATATTTTGGATGCGTAAATATTTCAACATCGGACTGAATCACATATTTCATCCATGTTTTGCATTGGATGCGTCGCGATGGTAGCTGATTCTTCCCGTGCCTGTCTTTCCTGGTCCACAATATCCGGTCACGTCGATAAGCCTTTGCGGTGACGCCGTGCGAGTGTAGGCGTAAGCTGCCCTGAGTGTGGCTCACTAACCTCCTACCGGAGACGGTCCTTTCTTAGTACCTATATACTCCTAGTTGGGTGCAGCCCGCTGCCCTGTGCGCCCTGATACTAAAATTGACTGGTTGTGGGTGCCACCGGCACGGTTCATGTCGCCGCGGCGCCCAGTGACTGGTGGTAGTGCTAGTGGTGACCGGTCAGCCGGTGGTGCCTATCACGCCGGGGACGGACGGCCCCGTGTGCAGGTTTACTGGTGATTGGTCAGTGTGGCGGGCGGTGACTGGTGACCGGTCAGCCGGGGCGGCCTATCACGCCGGGGACGGACGGCCCCGTGTGCGCCGGCAGGTTCGTCTACGGTAAAGGGAGCGCCACATTCGCCAGCCATGCCTTCTGCTTCGATATCCAGCTTGCACCCGATTTCCAGCCGAGAAATCAAGACGGGGAGGCGGAGGAGTTTATGCTGGTTACACCGAAGGTTTTGAACCATTTTCTTTCTTTTCGAAAATTGTGGCTTTGTTTCGTTTACCTATCGATATTAAATACGAATCATTTTTAGTTTAAGTATTGGGAGGAACTTGTATGTGAAATATCTATGCTTTGTTTGGAAATATCAATCCGTCAATATTCATCTTAATATGCGTATCCGAAACGTCAAAACAGGGGAACGGGACACTACTGTAAAACACTGGTCCTCTATCTATCCGATACCTTTTCATTTGGCATTCAGTATTGTTTCATTGGGCAGGCAAGATCAATCTAAGTTTTGTATGATTTATCAGATAAACTCATTTAAGAATGTTCATTTGATTTGTATGGAAAAGTTGTTGATCATTAAATTAATCGAGCCCATTTGAGTTATTTCAGATATTCTGAACCTTCAAAATCGTCCCACATGTTAGTACCGTAAAGTGGGGCTATTTGAGACAGTGAGGCTATTTGAAACAGTATTTAAAATCGCTATAAAATGAAGAGCGTTTGATTTTTATGTGATATTTTTGCTCAGAGTAAATCGCCTGAGAAAAAATGATGCATAAATTTCAAACGGTTTTTATCTTAAAACAATTTGAAATACTGTATCAAATAGCCCCACTGTCTCAAATAGCCCCACCTTACGGTACTCTATAGTTCTAGTTGGCATGCTTTGTAAATCGCCTGAGAAAAAATGATGCATAAATTTCAAACGGTTTTTATCTTATAACAATTTTAAATACTGTATCAAATAGCCCCACTGTCTCAAATAGCCCCACCTTACGGTACTCTACATATAGTTCTAGTTGGCATGCTTTTGATACTCTATTTGACACCTCGATAAAATTGCGACTATTGTGCGCCATACCACAGCGCTCAGTAGAAGTCAGCCGGGTAGCGCCTCCCACCTCGGTTCTTCTCTGTAACGGCAGCTTTACCAGTAGCTGTCCTGCCTTTTTACTGCCCAGGGCCCCGTCGCCTTTTCTCTGGGTCCGTCAGTGAGGCAGGGGGCGCTACCGGGACTGGCCGACGCTGCGCCTCTATCAGTGGCGGCGCTGTGGGCGCCCAGCGCCTGCAGACGTGAGCCGAACCCCACACAGCGAGCTGATCTCAGACAGTGTGCCCCTGCGCGGTCCCTGACCTGATCTGGCTGTCCCCAGGAGCTGATGGAGCTCGTCTGTAGCCCCGAATTCAAGACGACCAGCGCGCCGGTCACCCTCGACTTCCTCATACGGCACGGCTTCATCACACCAAACAACGGTAAGTGACGCATGGCCTGATCATTCCGAGCAATGGTAATGCAAACTCGGTTTCATCACTCCGAGTAATGGTACTTATGCGTCCTTATCACACCGACTGCCGGGTATTAACTCCGCCTCATCACACACAGTAACGGTAGTTGAACGACACGCCAGTTTCTGTGTGCCTGTTTGTGTAGCCGCACTAGCGCTGCGCTCTGTGTTTCAGAGCCGCGCTTTCTGGAGATCTGCGAGCTGCTGCACGTGCCACTGGCGAGTGCGTACAGCACGGGCCGGCTCATTAGCGGGCTGCAGGCCATCCACGGCTGAGCTGTGAACAAGCACCGCGAGTGGGGAGGGCGCAGCCGTCCAGACGCCGCCGGACCGAACCCTCCATAGCCAACAGGACAAGACACTTTCGGACCCTCCACAGCCGACAGGACAGGACAGGACAGACCACCGGACCGACCCTCGATAGCCGATACTCGACAAGACAGGACAGGATAGGCCGCTAGACCGCACCCTCTCCAGCTGACACACAACAGGACAGGACAGGATCCTTCATAGCTGATATCGACAGAACAGGGCAGACCGCCAGACCCGACCTTTATAGCCGACAGAACAAAATAAGGACAGTACACCGTCACACAGGACCGAAACATATAGCAGACGGGACGGACAGGCTGGTTCAGATATCTTCATCCGACAGGACGCCACCGGACAGGCGGGCAGCACCAGATCGGAATCACGTCTACACGACCTTTCCTTCCAACGAACCGGGGCCTGCCCACCAAACCAAGCCACCGCCAGAACTGCCATTTCCTTGCCGAACCTGTCCTTCCCATCCAGTTTAAATCTCCCCTTGACTGACATGCCTGACTGACGTCCGCACGAATGTCGCCATGAACAGTTACTTCGCCCCTCCACTGGAAGGACGGCGGTGCAGAGGACGGGAGTCGCACCTGCTCCTGTCTGTCAGATATACTCAGCTGTGGTCGGGGCGTCTTTACGGGTAGCGCGGGTGTGCTGCCTGTCTGCGCTGTGGGTGTGCCACCCTCCGTGGTATGGCTGTCCTGCCGGTATGGTGCCCTGTCGTGGGATGTGCCATCTGCCTGCCCTGTGGGTAAGATGCCTCCGTTGGGCACTGTCCCACAGTAGGGCGCCCTGCCGGTAGAGCAGCTGTCCCGCTCGTTTGGGTGAGCCGTGGTGGCCCTCGGCTGCTCCCATTTCCTTGCCAGGGAGGTCTGGAGGTCCGCATAGAGGGCAGCGTTAGGCCTCGAAGGCTGTGGGGCGGTCAGTGTTGTTGAACAGAGGCTACTCAAAGTGGTCCCGTTGAGCCGGTGTGTTTTAAAGAGTCCGTAGCTATTTGTAGACGTTTGCCTGTTTCTAATATGTGGTATCTTCTGAGAGCTTTCCTTTGGCTCTGGGGTACCTTTTTGGGACTTGTGTGTTTTATTATGTAGTCAATTTGCAATTGGTTCAATGTGTACTACGTTATTGCTTTGTGTCGGATTTTACCGTATGGGAAGTCATTTGACTAAGAATATACATTGTCGCACCATACACTTTCTTTGTGGAAGACTGTACCGAGGAAGTTGAAGTAGTGAATTTACATTGTCTCGCCTGGACAGTGCAGTGGGCAGGGATTGCTTATCCTTGGAGGTGGACGATCAGTATCAGTTTGTGTCCTTCTGGCTTCTGCACTTGTGTCAGCGATCCTTGACGCGTCAATCTGTCTCCCTTGCCGCCGACACTGGTCGATTCAGACACTGCGTATATCGATACGATTGTATTGCAATAATATGGCGTCGCACGGGGTCCTGCCCCAGAGACGCGGCAGGCGGCCTGCGCCTGCACTGAGCGGCCGACACTCTCGGCTGGGCTCTCCCACTCCAAAACACAGTGGAGACAGGACGGAAACAGGGACCGAGTCTCGGGACAGGGACACCTGGGCAGGGCTCCGTACACGGCGGCACCAGACGGCCGGGGTGGTTCATCAAAAACTGAACACCCGCGCATCCTCACACCGAACAGCAAACCGGTTAAATAGTGAATACATATGCACGGGGCCAACAATACAGTTGATAATGGGCTCAGGGAAGCGACGAATTGTCGGTAGGTGCAGCATCCAACAAAAACGCAGAATGGCCCCGAAAATCAGGGATCGGGAACGCGTGTGTACCAGGAGGCACGGCATCGAGTTGACCTCGCATTCGGTCTCTGGCTCATAAACCTGCTCTTGCAAAGCAGAAGAGACCGCTCGCAAAGCCAGCAAGATGCGGCCGGAGCTGATTTCGGCACACAGTTCGATATTAGGGCCAGCGCCAGCGCCTTGGACCTGAGATCTGCAGTTATTTACATATTTGGGACAGCGTATCTCTTGCCAAGCTGAGCAGATAACACACAATGTGTTGTGTTGCTTGGAAGAAATTCGCTGCCCTTGATGCAGAAAAACCTTATGTACCCCTTAATCCGTATTTCGGGTCCTTTTATACCCTGCCTATGTACATTTTAATGGACATGGTAAAAATATGTACAACGACCAACATGAGAGGGGTAAATGACATTACATGAGAGGGGTAAACGATGTGTACAGAGCTGCTCGTAAATGACAAATACGAGCAGCTCTGTACACATCGCCGTAATTACGCGTAAAACCACTCGGCAGCATAACAAGGCGCGTCAACATCAAACCCAACAAGGCGCGGTTTCCTGAGGTGGCCGGTCGCGGCGGCGGCCCGGGGACGGTGTGTCTTTTGTCGATGAGCGGCGCGGCGGTGCGGCGATCAGCACGGACCGGCCACCAGGCGCACATCGTCCACGGCCACGACTGTGGCCTGGCCGAACGCCCAGGCCGGCACCGAGGCCGACACCCGCAGCCGGAACGGCTCGGTGACGTGGTCCAGCTGCACGGAGCGCCGCGTCATGGCGCCGCGCGCGTGCGACCGCTCCACGTGCTCGATGGGCCGGTGGCCGGACTTCACCATCGGCTCCAGTGTGAACACCAGCTCGACGGCAGCGCTGCCGCGCAGCTCGTACTTGAGGAACGAGTAGTGCAGGCAGAGCGAGCCCTCGCGCGGCGGCAGCACGAGGCTCTGGAACGTCAGCTCGGTGGTGCGACCGGAGGTGACGGCCGTGCCCAGGATCCGACCTGAGGGAGACGACGCGGAGGGACCGGTCAGCGGCAGCGGTGAGCGTAGCTACACAGCAGACTCAGACCAAGGATGATGAAACAAACGTTTCAATTTGAAGATTAAATCATCGAGCAAGCCCTTACTATCTTCACCCTGCCTCGCGAACTGCACGCACCTTGTGCCGAGTCTGTGTTGATGACCTTCCAGGTGGTGCCGATGAATTTGACCCGGCACCCCTCGTGGTCCAGGTCGCAGCTGAAGAGGCTGCGACCGTCGGCGTTGGGCAGAGAAGACAGGTCGACGGCCGGTGTGGCCGGGAGCGCCGGCTGCTTGGTGGAGACGATCGGCGACCCGCCGCTGCCGTCACCTGCCGAGCGGAGGGAGAGGGTCAGAATGGAGCGACGACCTTACGGTGATGGACGGTACGGCAGTAAAGAACGCTCGCATCAGGTGACTTGCCAATGGCAACTACAGTTCGTTCGCAACTAATGGACCGAAGACCTGAAGCTGGCATTTGCATAATGCCTTACGACCGCTCGTACTTTTGGTATGCTTGTACTTCATTTACAAATTGAACAACAAACGTTCTTAGAGAGGAACTTACGTGTACCTAAACATGGAAAACAAAGGAACCATAAGTAACTAATGACCATTTCATCGTACATCCACCCACTACCAACTAGTCAGTTACTCACTGCAGAGAGCCGGGTACTGTCTGGAGCAGGAGGTGCCGCTGGGGCACTGGCTGCACGGCGTGCCCCGCTCGTACATCTGGCCCCGCTGGAAGTTGCCCGCCGAACCGTAGTTGCACACGTACAGCTTGGTCCACCAGGGTCCCTCCTTGTACAGGGCGTAGCCGCAGCCGATGCGACTGGACGTGGCCCACGCCAGCTGCGTGTAGTGGCCCAGTGGAGAGGAGAACCTAAACAGACAGAAACACCTTACGTCAGTAAAAGGACTGGGTAGTACATAGGTACAAACGTAACCTGAGAGCGAGCGAGCTAGGCAGTAGGTACACAGCCTTGAATGCATAACTGATCACAAATAATATTATTTAAACCTGGTGTCGGCTACGTATAAGGAAGAAGAAACTTGTCTCACATTCCTCTCATCAATGTCTGTCTAAAGTGCGTATCATCAGGATTATGTTCCGCGGTTGATACGTGATGCTATGTGCGCTGGTATGACGACGGGACGCTGGCTGTCGACTCACACGAAGGGTTCGATGTGCTCCGGATTGAAGAGGGCCACCTCATCGTACCAGGCGTAGATGGCGCGCCGCCACTCGGAAAAGTTGTCCAGACGCGTGCTCGACGAACTGTAGAGGTTCTGGCCCACCTTGAACCGCGCTGTGAACCATGCGGAAATGACTGTTAATCCTGGCCCTGACAACAAGCTACCGCATCGTACACAGCTGCGATCTCGTACTGGCGACGTTCCTTAGTCTGGGCGAATGTATTATGGAATATTTGCCGTGCTTATCTTTATGGGAGCTTGGGCTGGACATTTTTTAACGTCTGTAAATTCTCAAAACAAAGCCGGCGCTCCCTGGTATCAGAGTGGTCCGATCAGCTGCCCTGTGGCGAGCAGCTTAGCAGAGAGAGCGCCCCAGAGGAGCGGCGGCGGCCCGTCCACCCCGCGGGGCAGTCCTCTACAAATGGAGCGCGTCCGTCCAGGGCCGTGCAGCCGCCTATCGCCCGGCATCGGAGCGCGCGCGGCCGCACATACCGTCTGCCGGCCGCGGCCAGGGCCAAACATAGCCCGCGTGCCGCCGACGGAATCCCTGATGATCCCGACCGGCCGGCCGGCGTCCCAGACGGATCCACCGGCTCTGAATGAGCCGACCGACCGGCCACATCCGCGTGGCGGCGCGGTTAGGGCGGATGTGCCACACTCACCGACTCGCTTGCAGTCGCGGCAGTCGTGCTTGAAGACGCACTGCTCGGCGTGCCGCTGCGCCACCTTCGCCAACTCCTCGTCCCACTCCTGAGGGGAGGGAGGACACACACGTCAGTGGCATTGTCGACACGGGTCAACAACCCAGACCACCTGTTCATAGTCCCGTTCAAACACAATGAGAGGTCTGTTAGACAGCCTTAGAGAAACTACGCTCTCCTCTGGCTCTTGGTGTTACTGCCTAATGAGTGATTGCAGTCTCCGTGGTTGTTGGTGCTCCCGCCTACTGAGCGCGTTGCAGTCTCCACGCTATTTGGTGTTACTGCTTAGTGAGTGCTCTGCAGTCTCCGTGGTTGTTGGTGTTATCGCCTACTAAGTGCGTTGCAATCTCCGTCCTAGCTGGTGTTACAATCCACTGAGGCTACTGCAGTCCCCGGTTCTATTGGTGCTACCGCCTACTGAACGCGCTGCAGTCTCAATACTTTTTGGTGTTACAGTCTAGTGGGGCTGTTGTAGTCTCCGTGCTTTCTGGTGGTACAGCTTTTTTTGTTTGTTTTGTTGGGTTAGGCCCTTTCGGTCCATTAAGACCATTTCAGAGCCGGGAGGATGATAGGATATAGGGGGAGACATTGGTCTGGGCAGGCACCCTAGTGAGTCGCCGGGGCTGAGCCCGTCCAGAGGACAGGCCACCCAGCCCCAAGGCACTCACTGCACCCGGCTACGGGGTGCGCTCCCTCGGGAGCAGCGGTGCCGCTCCAAGGGAGCAGCCCGCATGAGATAAAGTTGCCTGTCCAGCCCGGAGGGGGGTTGCGGCGTGGAGGAGAAGGATTTCAGTATCCTGAGGACAGAAGCACGGAACGGTGGTGGTACAGCCTAGTGAGCCTGTTGTAGTCTCCGTGGTTGTTGGTGCTATTGTCTAGTGAGTGCACTGCAGTCTCCAAGCTTGCTGCTGCTTCCGCCTACTGAAGGCGTTTCAGTCTCCCTGATCTACCGATGTCATTGCTTTGCTTCACAGTCTCTTCTAGGTTCTGGAATTATCGATACCGCTCACTGAAGGCGTTACAGTCTCCCTGCCTTGTGTTATTTTCCACTGTGCGCATTGCAGTCTCTCAGAACTGATCTTATTGCGCTGCCACATATCTAATACATTCAATACGTCACTTCTTTGACGTCATTTGTTGACTCTACCTATACTATGTGCGCTTATATAAGTGACATCCTTTGTTTACACGTGTTAGCGCCCACTACGCATTGCATTCCCCACCCTTCTGCCGTCACCACTGCGCACTCCCACCCCCACTATGTGCGCTTCTACATCGTCTGTTTACAAGTGTGATAGCGCCCACGCACTGCAGTGCCCGCCGGTCCGCCACCCCACTGCGCACTCTCACCAGCTGCCTCATGTTGGCCGCCTGTGGCTGGCTGTAGATGCTGCCACGCGTCTCGCGCCCGCTGGCCACCTTGTCACGCAGCTCGTTGTGCTCGGCCACGATGTATTTGGCCTCTCGGGCGGTGACACCCCGCGCCTGCATCTGGTCACAGCGCGGACCGGGTCCCTGAGGGGAAGGAGAGGGACGCAGGTCAGTCGGCTGCCGGGGAGGGGAGGCATCTAGAGACAATATCAGCCACATATTGCACAGTGCACACTGCCGACAGACAAAAACATAAGCCACAGGGCGCAGAGCAGACAGGATGATATCGGCCACAGACGGACTGGGTCACCTCTGAATGGGGGCGTGGACGCCCACAATGGAGCCACTGACCCAGGGCGCTGACGCCCACCCGGGCCGGGCGGTGGTGGGTGGTGTCACCGGCACCACCGTTTGTCGTGACCGCCCCGGCTGTTTTCCCTTCAATAACAGGCGGCTCGTCGCGGGAAATCCTGCCCGGCCGCTCGGAGCACACCATGAAACATGCATGACAGTGATGTTATATGTATTGCCATTGCGTGTGTCGGTTCGGGTGGCAGCCCGCCGCAGGAAAGCGGCCGTCCCACCACAGAATGGCACACTGGGGCGTAATTTCCGCGAGAAAGTGTGGACGTTTTGTCCATATTAGTGGTTATCATGTAACAGCAACGACAACAGCAGCAGCAGTAGCATCAACAATAACAATATGTAGGTAATAAAAGAAGTAGCACTGAAGCAGAAAACGGAAAACGGGTCGCATGACTCATGGTCTGTCGACCGCGGCATCAAAGCCGATTAGATTGAATTCGTTTGTACCAATAAGTACTTTAATTGACAAGTCTGGTGACGTTTTGTTAATCTCATTACCAAGCGCAATAAAACGGGGAACAGGTGGCTGGAGACCGAGGTCCCACGGCCCGCTCCGAAGCAGGAAGAAGGCCGCCGATGGTATCTGAACGGTCCACTCTCCGTCTGGGTGTGTAGAGTGGACTACGGTGGATGGATGGGGTGTTTCCGGAAGGGCAGCCGGTCTGGGTCGGAGGCACCACGGTCCTTCGACGGGGAGAGGAGAGGACAGCCTTGGCACTGCCCAGTTCCGCCGCTTCCGCCCAGCTACACACACCCATCCCGGGGAGGGTCCACAAAAAAACGACCGGCGCCGGCGCCCATCCCGGCTGACCGTCCGGCCGCGCCCGGTTAGCAGCTTCAGCGGGAGCGGCTTCCGCCCGCGCCGGTCGGACAGACCCCGGTATCCGGCGGGGTGGTCCGGCCACCGTCCGTCGTCCTTCAGACAGACGGACCACCAACCGACCGAGATGGGCCATCAGTCCGCTGACGGCACGCGCCGGTCCGGTCCGGTCGGGCCGAGGATCGTCTGCCCGCCGCCCGGCCCTCGGCAGACCGGCGGGCTCAGCGGGCGGGCTGCAACGACGCCCGATGGGTTATTCATGAGCCAATCTCCGTCCGCTAGAGCCATAACGGTGATGCTCGGAGAGATTTGTTGTTATCGTTTGCCGGCCGTCGCGGGAAACTGTCTGGGAGTTTTTTTTCGGGAATGGACAAGTAGAAATCATCAGTCACATATGACCGTCAGACCGCCAGCGTGCGAAAGTTGAGCCGTCGATGGATGGAGCTGCGGCGGTGGGCCGTTTGGTGAGCTGGTTGTGAAGGTGAACTCGGGCCGACCGGCCGCCGGAAGACGCCGCCGCCAGCCGACATGTCACCGATCTGGGACGCGGGTCAGCGAGCTCGCCGAAGAGCAGCATTCATCACGGTCCAGGTGCGGACGGTGCGACCGTCGGAGACAGGTGCGGCGCTGAGCGCAGGTGCTGCCGGCGCGGCCCGTCCCGCGGAGACGCTGCAGATAAGGGCGGCCACACCGCCGGCAGCCGCGGTCAAACGGAAACCGGGCCCGGCCGGCCGATAAAGCGCTCATGTATAGACTGACTGATGGCACCTGTTCGCGTCCAGCCCCGGACCGGTCGCGTCAATGAATGCTGGATTGATGCATCGCTGATGTGCCTGCATCTTGGCGTATGTTGCTACTTGTCAACAAACCTGAAAACAAGGTTCAGTCGTTTTGGCGATGCAGGTTCCTGACGTCAAGTGGGCGCCACCGTGCAGCGATCATGCACAGATGTGAGGTCGTCCCATCCCGCCCCGCCATCGAGCGCCGGTCCTCTGCGTGCGTTTCGCTCGTGAACTGCGTCTAAGCCGACTCGTGCATGGCGCAGGTAATCCATTTAGCATGCATTCGACGAGAACCAGGTCATATATGGCCGATAAATTAGCGTATTATGGCGGCGCAGACCACAGAGCCCGACCGGTGGATAAGATCGGAGAAAGTGGTGTTGTCGCAGCGTGAGATGGCCAGACGGCGGCGCAGCGGGGGCGACGGGGGGAGGATGTCCAGGTGCCGCTCCCGCCGGCCGACGTCACTGCCGGCGCGCCTCCGCCGCTTCCGACTGTGATCCATCGCGCACTGCCGGCGAGAACCGGCCCGCGGGCTGCGCGCGCGCACCACCGCCGCAGCCGCCGCGCCCCGAATTAACACGTACTGGCCGGCGCACATTTGCCTTTCAGATGAGCGGCCGGCGGAGCGGTCCGTCTGTGGCGGCGGCTGTCGGTGGACCACCGCGACCGGCGTGGTCACCGGCGCCGCCCCCGCCGCGCCGGACGCGCGCGGACTGCCCGTCGCCGCCCACATCGTGCTCGACGAATGGAAATGGGCGCCGAGCTCCACTGAGCCCCGCTGTTTCCAAGGAAGTAGGATCCCGCATATCAGCTACTCAATCACGGATATTCCGCGGATATCTCAACCACCGAGAGTGCGTCGTGCTGCTCAGCCCGCTATTGTCCTGGACACCGATGGTTCAGAGGGGCCCATCTGGCTTGGGAACAGGCCGAAGTCCGGCGACCCCTCTCTCCTCTCCCCGCCCCGGACCTATACCGCTGAGCCATGACGATGGCTCTTACGCTGCTGATCACGACTGCATCACGTCATCCGTCGCCGGCAGAGAGTGTACCTTAGCGCAGACGGACGTTACGTCAGCTGGTTGATGGCGATGGGAGTGTGAAGAGCACGGTGGCGGCCGCCTCACGCTGCCGGGAGCTGACGGGTCGGGTGTGTTCGGATGCCGGCCACGCGGGTGTTCGGACGAAGATCACGTCACATCAGTGGCAGGCGGTGGGGAGGGGAGGGGTGTTTTGGCGGTGGCCACGTCGCGTCAACGGGAGCCGAGCGGGGGGAGGGGAGAGGAGGGACGTCACGTCAGCTCACCCGGTGCTGGCATAGAGTGTGTTTGGGTGTGAATCGGCAGTACTGGAACTGCGCCTCGACGGTCGCCGCCAGGCCGGCCGCCACCAGCAGACAGGTCATCAGCATCTGAAACAAAACAGAACAACCGTTAGTCATCACACGCCCCTACAATAGCGCACAAAACAGTATTCAGTCGCCTGATACCAGCGGGCAGCGACAGCTGAAATAGATCAATTGCGGCCTTCCTATTGCAATAACTGTCACACAAATGTATGGGGTTTCCGTTTTCCACATATCTCGCGTGCTGAAACTGGCTCCCTAAACACGAGACACGTGCCCCTCCTTGCTGGTTAAAACATTGCACCAGATGCCATCACCCAGTGTGTTATCATTAGTGCTGCGGCGTATTGTTGCTTTCGTGCCAGGGTAAGTCATTGTCCTTGCCTTTGACCTTAATGCTTGCCATGAAAGTCATCTTTCCTCAGTCATAATGCGCCCTTTACCACAGGAATGTGCCGTGGCACCAATCCGTATATCAAATGGGATCAAACTTCAACTGGCACTGGCGACATTTTAACAGGCTTATAGACCGGACGAACCGGGCCTAATGATGACGATTTTTTAAATGGCATGACATTTTAAGCAATGAAAATCACTTAATATTGTCTTGTATATGAACGGAACAACTTTAAACGAATCAGCTTGATTCAGGTGAGCACAATTTGTGGTTTCAATAACTCACGTAATCCTATGTGCCCACATCTAAGAAAAGTATTGGTACATATTTATCTTTAGTAATAAGCATTTGAATGTGACCATTCAAGCTATGGCCGAAATATTTTCGAACTTCATGGAAGCAGCATGATGTGCGGCCAATTGATCCCCAAAGTATTGAGAGTTACTATGAACGTTATAAAAGTCGGATATAATTGCCCATAAATGCGTTCCTCACAAAGAAACACCACGAAATAATTAACTCATGGCGATAATATTATCCCATGAATTCGTTTTCAGGCGTGTGGGGCGTTCCAGGTCATAAAAGGGGGAGCGTCAGGACAGTACCTCTACGCTCGGAGCTGCGGTAGACGGTAGTGGTTCCCTAGTGAATGGACGGGGCGCACTTCCCGGACCCCGCGTGAACCGCGTGCCGTTCCGAGAGGCACGCTAACTGCACAATTCGCAGCGCTAACCGCGCGATTCGCTGTGGTCGCCGCGGGCTATGGAAATGGAGAGCTCCTCACGCCTCCCGCGAGCGCCGGATGCAGTGCTAAACAGCTGGTCTGCCAACACTACGTCTCTCTGCTACCAGGCCACAGGTGCAGCTGAGTATGACTCTCAGAGTCGGGACCGTCACAGGTGCAGCTGAGTCTGCCCCCTTTGGGCCTTCCTGTCAATGCTGGACCATCACAGGTGCAGCTCGGTACGTAGTCACCAGTGCTGGGTCATCTCTATTCCTTATGTCACAGTCACCAGCGCTGGATCATCCCAATGTCCCCGTGCTGAGGCCCTTCTGCCTCTCGTTGTTGTTACCATGGGCGCGGCGGACCCGTCTGACTTCCCGTCTGCGCCCTCTGGTTCATCGGGAGCGAGCTCGCTTCGTGAAAGCAGTCTCTCCCAAAGAAGTCGCGCTATTAATCTCCAGTCGAGAGCAGCTTGCTAATGCGGCCGCTGCAGTCGCTGACCGATAAGCGTATGCGCCGGCCGCCGCGACCCGTCTGGGTCGGTGGTCACCTTCAATATGGAGACGCCGGCAACCGCCCAGTTTGTCGGGCCACTCAGCCGGCGCGCATGTCACTGCCAAACGGGCCGATCTGCCCGGCGTGGCTGTCATAGTCTGCTGTCACAGACGCTGTCACTGACCTGCTGTCAATCTTGCGCTCCCGCTGTCATACCCGCCAGCTGTTATCACTAACGCGCTATTGCCATAATAAATGTGCGAACAAACCTTTCGTGCGTACGCCAATAACTGAACAAAAAAAAACTTGGACGCACGGGCAAACGGACGCACTCAAATATCAGCGCGCAAGGCACACATCTAAACAGATGTATACGTGCGCTCATGAATGAAAGGCACAGCACCGTTGAGCCAGCAGTGTCTGTATCTAAGCGCAGGGAGGGGGCTAGGGTCGGGGTGGGTCAAGCGGTCTGCTCTAGACAGACGGACGAACATGAGCTGCTGGGCGCCGACATTGTCGCGCATACCGATCTAATATGCAGCCATTGGCAACACATGCGCTCGTCGCCTTTGAATGGCGCCGGGCCGGTCCCCGTTTGCGATAAGCCGCCGGGGCAGTCGGCGACTCTGACCGGTCCGTCGGCACGGCGACATGTCCGGACGCCACCGTCTCCATGGCAACAGGGACGCTGCCGGTGACCGGTGACGTCACCGGGCGTGCAGCGGTCACCCGGTGGCTCATTAGGGCCTCGCAGGCTGCTCAGGCCAGTCTGCACGGCCAGCCACTGCGGCGCCGGGAGAGAGTCGGCCCCGGCACCGGCAATCGGAAGGAGCGCCACACCGCCGCGCCGCACCGCCGCACCGCCGGCCTTTCCTTCCCGGGCCCTTGTTCATGGAGACGGCACCGCTCGATACCTCCTGGTACCGCCGAGCGTTTTTAGCGCAGCTGACCACCAGGTAATGAACATCCTTTCCTTCACGTAAAGGTTTTAGGATAATCGGGGAGAACACGAAAAAGATGGGTAGTTCCATGGAGCAACGGTTTAAGCTTTCCATTTCGTGAGTAGTCGGTACAAATCCATTGACACGGACGGGCCAATTTAGTGCCTCGCCGTTTCCTTTTATTCTGCGGGGCATGAGTCTTTCCACAGCTATTAATACATATGTCTTCAGATATTTCCACGCCATTCATTTGTAAAAGTGTTTGTTTTTCTTCTTCCAAAGGCTTCTAAAACGAAAGAATCCGAAATAATCCGAAATAACGAAAGAATCTGATCCTACGACAGAATCAAGTGTTCTTGGCTGTATTGCGCAGATTTTAGTGCGTTTTTGTTTTAGTGAAGATTTAGTGAGTTTGTTTTTTAGATCATGGTTGCTGCGAATGACCCCGGAGATAAGAAATCATGGCTTAGCGGTGTCGTAAGCCGTAGCTCTTTGACCTGCACGCTCTGTCGGTGGCCCCAATGCAGGTCTGCCTAAGCCGCGGCGGCTAAGCTGAAGATGTCACGCCTGATGTCGTGGGGTCACGGACAGCGTCCGATCGGGATTAGCGTGGGAGCTGTCATGGAGGTGTCATTCTGCGGTCTTAGAGCCGTACTTAGCGGCTTTAGAAGGTGCGGCGGGGGAGCGTTAGTACCTACCGTTATAACTATTTAACCGCTTTGAACATAAATCAGACAAATGTTATTTATAGACTAGAAATGAGCATAAATGAAGTATTTCAGAATATATAGTGCCAAGCCAAAAGGCAAGCATAAGTTGACCTGTCGTCATTTGATAACTAACATGTGGGAACATAGTATGCCACACAATACACATAGATCCATAGCACGCGGTCATCCTATTCATCGTGCAATAAGTTGTAGAAATACGAAGAATTAAGTAGAATATTTACGCAAAACAACCTTATCTTATTTTATATCCTAACATAACATCGGGTGAACCATTCGGACGTTTCATGAACTTTGCTCTAGACAAGCGTATCTCTTGCAAGAAGGCTAGGTAAATTTAATTACTTCATGCGCATCGCTTATAGGTGCGTAATGCAATTACGCCCTTATGAAAATTACGTTCAATTTGACAGAGCCGTTACATTTACTCAATTTTTATATCAATCTGATAATTCATCGCTTAATCATTAGTCACACAGGTAGTGATCAGGCTTCGCAGGTTTTCACACCTGTTTTCCCGGTAATGCGAGCTGCAGTAGTCTGTCGGGTTTTCAGACCTGTGCGACTTCCCTAACGTTCGGATTACGATCGGCGTCTGGTGGCGCATGACCTTTTCCTGAGGCACGTCACTCAACACGACACTAAGGAGTCGGAAAACGCATGTTGGTGCTAAGGGAAGATCCAATGACTCACCCCCGACCTTTCCCCCATTATGACATAAAATGTGTTATTTGCTAATTAAGCTGGCAAATCAATCGATTTAATCATCGCTTCTTCGCTGCTCGTCAACGTGATAGTGTAAAGCATGCAAGTATCAATCACGGCTGCCAAAGTAAATATAGGCTAGGAACCCTACCATATTTTTATCCCTTATCAGTACGTTACCAAGTACGACTTAAGGCATTTGTAACGCATCGCTACAAACGTTTCCGTCTAAATATACATTTACCTTGCGTAAAGTACACATTTAACCACAATATTAATGCCAAGATTTTCGTTAATTAACTAGATATATGGCTAATTTTCACCATTTCTTAAAATGCGTTTCAGCATGAGCGATTCAGCGTGAAGAATAAATCAAAAATCGGTAGGCACATTGATATAAGATCGGCATGCCAGGCATTTCAAAGTTCAGACGCATTGCAGCAAGCTTCATCATTAAAAATGTCGTTCAGTTAGCACTCTTTCATGGGGTCTTGGATTATGATAAGAGATAAGTTAGCGCATGACCACTGGACTACAACATATGCTACTGAATACTGTAAACCACATGAATGACCAATTGAACATGACTAATTCGTAGCAAATTTGACCCGTAATTACAAGTTATATGCACTCCATCCGATTGATTCGCCTACCTTTGTTGCGTTGTGTTCACCGCTCCGTGTCTATAATGCGCCGCCGCTGGTCCTGTTGGTCTCGGTGGTCTCTGATATGCTGCTCGTGCGACTGACGGCGTGGCCCGAGTCCCGTGGCGCCCCGCTGCCGTGCCCGCTCCCGGAGAGGTGCCTGCCCGTCTCTGAGACCGGCCGCGCCGACTGGCGACGCTTTTATAGCGGCGGCGGTGGCGGCGCGGCGGCTGAGGCGACATCCCCCCTCCCCCTCGCCCTCAGCCCAGAGCACAGGCCGGCTCCGGCGGGCCACCCGCCGACCCGGCAGGTCGACAGGCCGCCGAGCCGACTGAGAGCAACCTTATTCATAACACTCTAACCGGAACATGGCGCCAGGCTTGCAGTGGCTTTAGGCTGGATGCTCATGACATCCGAAGATGGGCTTTCATGCAAAAAAGGGCGCGTAGTATGTTGTGGCAATACGTTTTGCTATTACAAAATCCTAGCTTGTAATAATTAACAGGTAAAATCGTCCTTGTTCTTGCATCAACTTATAACTTCTTAGGCGCATGGTCAAACGGTTGCGTTGCTGAGCTTTAACCCGCGCCCTGGTGGGGTCTGTTTATAACGCGACCTGGTGGGGGGGGGGGCTATTTTTTGCCCCCCCTCGTATCTCCGAAACTACTGGACGGATCCGCAAAATTCAAACGGCGTTCGAAAGGCCTGTCAAATTTGTCGGGATAAACCAAATTTCATTGACCTCAGGGTCACCGATGACGTCACAGGTCAGGTCAAAGATGAAATGTTTCACCGTTCACGGGTCTTCTATAGGGAATGCGCTATAACACCGAGGAAAACGCATTTTGTCGAGAATCAGCGATAGGGCGTCAGTTGCCTAGTAGATATGTTGCTATTAGAGGTCACTGACAATACCAGTTCAGGTCACAGGTCAGGTCACCAAGGGTCACAGGTCAGGTCACATGAGCCCAACTTTACTCAGGTTGTGTGATGCATGTTTTATGGCCAATTTTTCATTTCCAACTCAATGGTGTTGGTTATAAGACTATCAGGTACGGCTTAGGTCACTTTCTGGTGAAGTGCAGGTCAAGGTCAGGTCAAGGTCAGGCCAAAAAAGGTCAAATTTTAAAGTTGATAGTTTTGCATAAAATGGGTATTGATTCGATGCAGCTCGTCACGGGGAGTCTAATGGTGGTCTTTGTTTTGCGCTACGGGGTCTAGAATTGCTAAAAATTGAGTTCGAAAATTTGACGTCATCAATTTTGAACAGTTTTTTCGCTATAACTTCGCTAAAAAAAGAGGTATCAATCTCAAATTTGGTATGTGGATGGAAGGCGGTATGGACTATCACATATATTCCGGTTTTTGCGAAATTCAAAAAGCTTTTTGGATTTTTCGATTATCATATCAAAAAAAAAATATTTTTTGATTTTTGGGGGTCAAAATCCAAAAATTTCAAAAATCCGAGATAGCAGTTTTGTAGCCCTGTCTATTCTACAGCTTTTATGTCTTTATCATTTTTCTGTATTTGCAAAGCTATAGGCCTGACAGCTGTTCCCGCGAAACCCTTTTTTGGGTCGAAAACGGCAGAACATGACGTCACTCTGACGTCATTTCCGGCCAACCTATCATAGCCTTTGGAAAAATTTTTGGTCACAATGTGTAAAATTGATGTCCGGGAGGGTACTGAAAGTTTGGTGACGATCGGCGCAGCGGTTCTGGAGATATATCGAAAAGTCTTGAGGGGGGGGGCAAAAAATAGCCCCCCCCCCCACCAGGTCGCGGGTTAAGTACTTAGATGTTTGTGTGATGTCATTAGCATGACAATTATATAATATAACTGTCATAACAGTTACATAATCGTTCATTTTTAAGTTACATTCCATTTGAATGTTGATGCTATTTTAGTAATTGTTTCCGTTTACTATGATGAGCTGCTAAATGGTTGCATTCTAGATAATTTTTCATTCCATGCGTCCGTCATCGCATGATGCTGAACAACATAACCGCATTTCATCTGGACGCAATTCCAAACACCACAAGCAAACTGAAGCTGAACACGTGAGATCGTATTACTTCCGGACATCTTTTTAAGCCGGTAAGAGTTGCCGCAATGCAGATCGTGTACGATGAGATGTACCGCTATCACCGACTCAGTTTTATCTTCCTATCAAGTTCGTTACTGGACAGAGGGCACCGTTAGTTGTCCGTCTACAGTAAAAGACCACTATCACACATACATGTGAGACCGACAGAGATGACCACTATCACACAGAGACCGACAGAGACGACAACTATCACACAGAGACCGACAGAGACGACCACTATCACACAGTTATGGAAGACCGGCAGAAATGACAATCACATTTCACTATCACGTCTTGAATATTTTTATTGCAGCATTTGTATCCTTAAAAATAAAATTTTGTTTTTGGTTATGCTAGAGTGCCACTTCCTCTACTTAAGCCGTTCTCATACTAGAGCCGAAGAATTTCACTATACCATTACGGAGCACCTCTTTACTAAAAAATAGTGCCCAAAATGATAATGGGTATAATACTCATAATTACCGTTTGCTACCATGATTATTTGTCCATGTATATCACAACATGGTACGTTTTGATGCATGTAAATGAAGATTGACCAATTTTTTAACAAGAAAAAAGCACTTTTTAAGGCTATCACTAGTAGTTGAACAGAAATATCTATGTTCGAAGAACAGTTCTTTCCATCTTTCTAATAGGAACTAATATGATAATGTTTCTAATATGATGCCTTCAGTCACCATATGGTAACCATGTTGCATTGTGTTTAAAACTTCAATGACGTTATACTGTCCATCATATAAACGTTTTACCGCCGTTACTAAGCGCGCCGCACGTCAGTCATCGTCTACAAATGAATGGCTTCCGATGATGATTGACGTTTAGAGCCATCAATGGGGATGTCGGCGTGGAGGTGTCTGATGTTACTATCAATCACTTTGTGGAAATATTGCTTGAAAGCTTGTAAAACATGTGCATTGGGCTATTCTGCCTAATGTCTGCAACCCGATGCTTTGCACGGCCATTACCATAATCTTGCAGTTTGTTTGGTCACTTTCCACCACCGCTGCTGCTACTGCTGCTGCTGCTGCTGCTGCTGGGGATACAAGCCTTAAGGCCTGGCTACACTATGCGTTTTCTGCGTGCGTTTTTTGCGTGTTTGCGGGTTTTGCGTAATATCGTTCTAGAAAAAGGGTTATTATTAAATAAACTTCTTTAATATTGATATAAAAAATAATAAAACGTTTATGTTAATTAAAAGTTTATATGAAAAACATATCACAAAAACGTAATTTCGTTTCTTTCTAGAACGATATTCTGCAAATCACGCAAACTCGCAAAAAACGCACGCAGAAAACGCATAGTGTAGCCAGGCCTTTACCCAGCACCGACTCAATCATGTAAAGCGTCGGAAACGGCTGGAGGTGCTTGCTACGTGTTTAGTTTTCAAATTGAAAAGCAAAAAGTAGGTAGGGATACATTTGATTTTTGACGGGACTCTGCTTTTGATTATGACATTTAATCAAGAAGGTTCCTAAAAAAACGTGCGCTATTCACACATTGACGTCACCAAACCCGAAGTCGTTACGGCATTTTAGAGACTATGGCCTGGCAGCAACCATAATATTTTAAGTCCACCACAATACATTTTTTATTTACGCAAATAATGAAGCCTGATTCTTTGTAGTTCTGAACAAATATTATCCGATCCGATAAATATGTACACCGTAAGCATTTGCAACATGAACTTTGACCGCATTCAGTCCCTCCTTGACGGGAGCGTGGGCTTATCTACAGAGGCCCGCGGCTATTACACTGAAGTCGGCGGTGATTACGCGGAAACTCTCTCTACCGTCACGTCAGCTGAATCTCATTTAGCCCGCTCCCAGGCGGGATATTTCCATGCCGTTTACTATGCCTGTTCGCTAATGCATCGACAGCGAAAAAAGCAAGGATTAAATCGTTTAGTGTAATGAATACGTAGCATATCATAAACCTGTCTTGCATATCATATTGCAGATATTGCATATCAATCTGATTTGCTAATAAGGATATTAAACAATGGACCAAATAACCAAAGTACAGCGACGATCGAGTAAGCCACTCAGATCTCTTGTCCAATACAACCAACCGAATATGCACGGGTCACAGCACAGCCTCAGCAGCATGTGTAAGCTCACTAGGGCGTCTATCAATGGAGACACAAACGTAACTATACGGTCTATGACACACAACTCTGGTAGCATCATCGTGCGTTTATGACCAGGTGCCATAGTTAACATTACACAAAATGACGGTGAGCTCACATCACCCGAGCCCCATCAGACCACGGCTGACGCAGCGGGAGTGATCTGGAAACCACGCATCGGATGATTGGCGCCCTGGCCTTTTCCTTCCTGTCCAGTGTGGACGTTTGGACTTCCTGGAATTAGCGCCAGAGTTTTTGGGACAGAGCACATTTTCCCAGACTGCACGGCGTCGAACAATAACAACTAATCTCATATATGCCTCATCAGAGTCGCAAGCAATGACAACATTGAAATGACGTTGGATAGCTCTCTTATCAGCAGATGCACAAAGGGAGTAGTGTCACATTTATTTGTAAATATATTCACACAAACCACTAATCCAATTCAAACACAAAATTTCCTCAAGGACGCCATTACATAATTTAAGCACAATTCACAAGTTAGTCAGCAGTCACGCTAGCATACTAAAGGCATGTGTAAATAAAACTTCACGGTAAATTTGAATTACATAAGCGGCCCATCATGACACACGAGCGTTCTGTCACCTTTCCCTGGACTGCATAATTGCATTGGACCGTCCTTTCGGCCGGTCATTGCACTTCCGTCACCACGCGCAGGCTCCGTCTGATTTACTCCCCTCCGCCCGAAGGCTCTCTCTGATCTGTTCCGCTCTGCCCGGAGTCACTCGCTGATCTGTCCCGCTCTCTCTCTCTCTCTCTCTCTCTCTCTCTCTCTCTCTCTCTCTCT